GCAAGAAACTATTTAATAGATAGTAATATTTGGTTTACTTGCATCAATTCCCAATTCTCATTCTGGACATCTAATTAGCATTGAATAAACGCCAATTCATTTTCCAATTCTTGCATCCTCAGCATTTCTCTCTCTCTCTATCTCTCCCACGCTTCTTTGTGTGACCCCTCCCCCATTGATATCGGTCGTTCGCCCTCATCGTCGCGTCAACAGTTTAATATTTTATTTTCTTGTCAATTGAGTTGTCTTCTGTGAGTAATTTACCAGTTTGATTTTTCGTATCGATTGATTTTTCAGCTTGCAATATTGCCACTTATAGTTTGTTTTAGGTGTTTAAATTTATGGCGATTGTTTTTCATGAGTTCGATGAAAGACACACACACACACAGAGAGAGAGAGAGAGAGAGAGAGAGAGAGAGAGAGAGAAATGGTATGAGGTTTTAATTAGAGTGTTTTTAGACACTTTGTAAGGCACTCATTGAGTCCTCTTATTTAATGTTTGATCATTTCTCTATAACTCTCTCACTCTCTCCCTCACACTCAATTTAAATCGTTACTCATTAATTTAGAGGGCACAACGAGTGGGCGAAAATGCTCAACCAAAGTTTCGAATTGAACACAGTGCTATATATGTCCTCATCGACTTCAACATGATTGGAAAACGAAAACATTGAACATGATAAGTCTCAGAGGACAAATTGTTCCCTCTGTATGTCTGTGTGTCTCTTGGTTCGTTTGCTTAATTATTGGCGCAACGAAACGTAGACCAATAAAATAGAGACGAATAAAGAGAGACAGAAATAGAGGAATGATATGCAATGAAAATGCCGTTCAAAATGAATTATATACAGTAATTTGAGTAAATATTTCCGCGTTGGTGACCCCAAAATTCGTTGCTTTTCCATATTCTATGTGCGATGCCATGCATTGTTTAGAATGATACGGAGCGCGTGCTTCATATCGAACTGAAGAAACAGACAAAGTTATAAATTTTATTATCATTGCAACTTGAGTGTGAGCGCTTTGAAATTTTCGTATGCACATATGGCAGATGCACATATGCAGAAAGGAAGAGTGAGAGATGGAGATGGTGTGTCGAATGTGTGTGTGTTAATTTATTCAGATGTCGCCGATTGAATATCCAGATCATATAATACGTGACATTAAAATGGACCAATTATGTATGTATATATATTTGTATTCCGTTGTAAATGTGTAAATGTTTATGCGAAATATCTATGAATAATATGAAGTAAATATACTTGAAATATTAAATGTTCGAAAGCGAATGAAAGCCAATCAGCACCATCGAATTGAAAATGCGATTCGGTAACTGCATTTTTAATGAATTACAAGAATTTTTCTGGGTTTTCAAACGGAACCACATCATAACCAAGCACAGTCAATATTTTCATCATGTTTGGATAATTAGCTTCGATAATTGCCATTTGCACTTAACTTTTCTGGCAACAGAAAATGAGTAGCTGAGGGAACCGCCTCAAATGAAAACACTTAAATTTTATGACATACCATGTGGATTAAGAGGTGAAAAACATCACGAACTCAACACAATTCAAACTTATTGAGTATGTAACTGTCTCATTTGTTCTCGCACACAGACACACATTCGAAGCTCAAAATGTTATTGTCATAGAACGACCAATACGAAATCATATCCGAAACGGGTGCCATATCGTTAAACGCCAAATAGACACATACATGGTACAAACACTCTTGAGTTGCATCATTTATATAGTGTGATAATTTCTCTGGAGAATTCATAAAATATGTACCTAGGAAAGTAACAGCAATGGATTGAATACTTTTCCGAGCTCATTGAAATTCAAATACATAAACAAAAAGGTACAAATTAAGGAATCTCAAATGTCACAAATTGGTGCGAACGAAACAAGTCCAAGGCAAGACAAAATTAAACGACCGACGGAGAGAGAGCGAGAGTGAAAGTGGGGGTAGGAGAGTGAGACAGAATGGTCGTGTACGTCTCAAGTGTAAAGCATGAGATGAAATATTCAATTAATGGCAAATTGTGTAATTGTTTAATTGCATTTTGAATGCTATTATACGATTGTTTTCTAATAAACTTATAAACAATAGAAACAAATGGCACTTGAAAATAATTGTTTTCCCATTTTCCCCGAATGGGGGTGTTGTATATGTTTGCTGTGCCGAAAATGACACATCGAACAATTTGCTACGACGGAATCCCAGCTGACAATTCGCACCATTGTACAAAACAAAAAAATGTGATGATGTTTTTGAGCATCATTGATGCGCTCCCAGTGCGTCATTGAAAGAATACCGTGAGTACAATTTCGTTCGGTTGCACACACACACACTCACTCGTATGTCTCTCATACGCCTACGCCAAGGTACATAGGCGATGAAGATAGGTGCTTGGTGTATATATGAACGCTTTGCGGTTGACTTGATGAGATTTATTCGCGCAATTTTTAGCTATACACAAATGGTAATCGTAATCAGAAACAATAATTGCCAACGAAAATGACAGTGTGATAACCACAAAAACAATAAATTACACATGAGGTTATACAGAAAATTCCGAAGTGTTTATAGGAAACCTAATTACCATCACCCTTCCACCCAATAGGGTGTGCTTCACATTGACATGATGTCGTAATCTTAATTCTGTACATCACACATTTTATCAACATTATTTAAATGCGAAAATTTAACACTAGATTTACTCTCAAATTAAATTAATTTAATTGAAATGAATATATGATAATTAAGCGTGGTGGTTGTGTTTTTGGTATTATTCCATCATTCAATGGCAATTCGGGGTAAATGTGCACATAAAAATTACCAACCACAAATTTAATGGAAAAACATTTGTTCGGGCGAAACGGATCACTCCGCTATATGATGTGTGCGAATGCCAAAAAGAAATGTTTATGTAGAGTATTTATCAAGAGTTTAATGATTATTTTATTACATAGAACATCGAATAAGATGATGTCAATCTTTGCGATGTGAAAAAAAAACAATTTTTTTCCATTTTCATCATTCTCAATATTTGTAAATTGAACAGTTTATAAAAACTGAAAATACATTTAACGATATTTTACCATCGATATGAAGACTTATGGCACGACAAATGCAAACAAAAATCATCAGCCAATTTGAGCCTCAACGTAATAACATATCTACAAAAAACGACAAAATTTTCATCCAGATGTAATTAACATTTATTTATTCGTGCAGTTTTGAGCACTGGAGGAGTGAGATCGGAAGCGAGAAGAGTCAGAGATGAAAAAAAGAGGTGTAGGGAGAAGAGGGATCGTGAATTGTGTGAAATAGTTGAATTAATGTTGGCCAATGAGCGAGCAATAAATTACAATCGAATTATACGTGTAAGCGATTATGCAAGAATTACCTACGAATTTGAGCACATTATCAATATGTTTCATTCAATCGAAATTAAAATCTGCTTTACTCGTGAACTCGTTCGCCCTTTCGCTCATTCTGCCACATCACTACTAATTTTTCCTCATTTCGATCATATCATATTGTGCATGCGTATGTTCTCTCTCTCTCTCTCTCTCTCTCTCTCTCTTTTTCTCTCTTGCCATATTGGACGGAAGAGGGACAAAGCATACAGCATTTCATATGAACATAGCGTGGGGTAATTCTTTTTTCTCTCTCGCATGTTAACTTGTACACCGTCCAATTTTAACACCATGAATAATTTTGGCTGATTTTATTGCAATTTACATATAATTTATTTTTATTGTGTCGAATGGTTGTTGCCATTTTTTGTATTCGCTTTGTCATCTTCATTTGTGAAACAAGAAAGGCAATTCAATTGCTAGCTCCCTTTTTTATCACAAACACACGCACTGTAAATGAGTGTGACATTTTTTACGCGCCAATTTAATATTTATGGTGGCGGCGACGATGTTGAATTCTTACAATTATACCCGGACTCACCATGTAAATGCATCGAATTCTCGCACGCGGTCATAATTTGTGTGTTTGCTTGCTGATTGAATGGATGGTTCGTGGTGTAGGGCATATGGTTGATTTACCTTCATTATTCATTATAATGCGCTCGTTGTATTCCAAAACAACACAATACACATAAACACTCACTGCACACACAAACACACACACCAAGTTCGTTAAGTATATGTAAATGATTTAGGGAGAATGTCATGCAAAACACTGACCGTTGAAAGCGCGTGGGATACTTCGAAAAGGGCATTGCTAATAGCATTAACGTATACAGTATTTTGTATCCAGTCAAAGAGTTCTTGTACCGATGCTGCATGTGACAGAATAAATGTATCTGTCAGCGATTCTAATTGCTACCAAACATATTGATTCAGTGTCTTTAAACCAATAATAATTGGCGAATTCTCTTCCAAATTCTTGAAAAGCTCATATTTTTAAAGCTCTTCTTTATACATTGCAAAAAAGAGGTTTTATCGCTCCAAAATTACGTTGAATTGCAGTATTTTTTTTTTAAATTCGAAATTATTTTTATCGCTTAATGACCGGAGAGGAAAAAAAAAATGCATTGTTTTAGTTAGTTTGACTAAACGACATATTTTCCGCAGCGATGCCAAACCAATTTAAAGGCAATCAACTAACCAATTGCGATTTAACAAATGTTGTTTTTACAACAAAATACAATGTTAACGAATTTAGGTGGTAGCCGGATTTTGGCATACGAAAAATTGAGTGACCAACAACAATGTGTGCGTTTTCATGTGAAATGACCGCAACTCGAAATTGTGCTGGAAAATAGTAAACCACGAAATCATTCGATTTATATGGAGTCAGTTTTTGGTCAAAGATATATTGTACCTTTATTTCAATAGTCAGTTAAGTAATAAAAGTATTTTAATAACAGAAAAAAACGTGGTTTCTTCTTTTCTCTCTCTTCATTGATTACCTTATCAATTTTTATATGTTCAAAAATGATTGATTCGAAATATGAACGAATAATATAAACTCACATTGTTTGGTGCTGTTGTTTTGCTGTTTTCTGTCTCTTCTTCTCACTATTGTTCCAACGTTGCTGTTCTTTTCAACTCCAAAACAATAATTCACGTTCTTCACCTTCGTTTTTTCTTTACATTTATTTCGTTTTATCACAAATTATTATATTTTATTGTTCCTTTTCAGTTCTGTAATAGATTTTTTTGTTTGGTTTGTACTGTAACGTTTTGTCATTCATTTAAAATTACGTGCAGAAAAAAAACAAGGCGCACTCGTTTTAGCGACAAATAGTGTGTCTCCGTTTTGTGACCCTGGAAAAATCATGGTTTATTGATAGAAAAAATGTTTATTCAAGTTTACAGAAGACAAAAAAATCACAAACTATTCTGCTCTCTGTGTGTATGGTGTTTCAGTGTCCGAGGAGCTCAGATATTTCGCTATTTTTTCTCACACAGCACACATACAAACAACATTCTAAATTCATTCCATTTGAGATTCCGTATTTTTCTTCTTCATTTTTCTTGTATCTCTTGCTCTTGTCGGTGTCACGGCTTTCTCTATTTTCTATATATCTCTCGTTCTCTTTGTGTATGAACTGTGTATTTTTTTTTCGTTTTATTTTGCTGCAATTCTGATTTTATGTTTATGTCTTTCTTAAAGTAAACTGATTCTGATTTATTTTCCTTTCAAAACAATTTCCTGTGTGGTTCGCCTCGGTTGGTTTGTTATTGTTCTTGTTATCAGTCGTGCGTTTCTTGCACATAAAATGTATCTCTTTTCATAAATTTTCTCATGTTGTTTCTTCTTTTCTCTTTGAATTTATATTTTTTTTTTTCGTTTCGAAATTTTTATTTTTCTTCTCATTCGAGCCATTTCATTTCTTCAGCCGTTGAACGACCAACATTGTGGATCGAGCGAGTAAACGAGCACACACTTTCGTTGCATATGAGAGTCTATTTATTTATTAGAGTATATTTTCACTGTGTTTTCTTCCTCAGTTCAACGGGGTTTGATGTAAACAATATATGCAAATCGAAAACCAGAATCGACATCAAAACCACAAACAATTTTTCTTATAGATGCGCATATAAAAAATGAATTCATTGCGAGAATAAGTGGATGAAAAAGTGCCAAGAAAAGCGGAGCAAAAGAAATCAGAGTCAAAGGCAGAAAATTCAGGGAACAAAAGAAGCAAAGTAAACAAATGTTCATGGAAAATCATGGAGATTTTTTTTTCATCTTCAGTTCACACAAAATATGTGGTTTCAATATTTTTCCAACAATACGAACTCGTGAAGAGCTGTTGCGTTTTTTTGATTTTATTTCTTCATCCGCTCAATTGCGAAAAGTGTGTGTTTTTTTCAGTTGAAGTTATTTTTTGGTTGGATTTTTTATATCTTGCAATTGGCATTACAAAGGCCTTGCTGGCAGATCGAGCGATACATTGTTTGGTTTGGTGTTCATAAATGATCGATGGTTTGATGAATTGATAAATGTAAAAGTGTAAAAAGTCTTCTCCATAACAAATCGATCTTGTTTTTTGGTGCTATTTGCTTTTGAAACTCTTTGGAAATGGATGGTTGGCAAATAAATGGTAATATTGTCTGTCACAAATTTGTATGTGCGGGTGAGGATGCAAGTGAGCAAATGTATCTAAACTGATTTGAATGGCACATAACTTGTTTTAGTTCTCATTTCGTTTGCCACACAAATACACATGACAGAAATAGTATATGTCGCAAATAATAAATGTCATAAATGACAATTGACTAGGATTTTATACATTGAGTGCTTCTGTGACTCTTTGGCTCTCTCTTTCCATTACTCTCCACTTCCTCTTACTCTCTCTCTCTCTCTCTCTCTCTCTCTCTCTCTCTCTTTCTTTCACTTTATATCTATGCCACGTCGAATATGTCATAAAAACATGAAAACAGCATGTGTGCCGAACACATGAATGTTGTTGTTAGCCAAGCAGCCACGGATAACGCATTTATATTGTCAATGCGGATGCAGAGTGAGAATTTCAATTTTTGACCTCGTCCATCGTATTCCATATATAAAAAAAAATTGATTCAGCAAAATCGGAAACGTTTGCCAAATGCACTTAACCAATGCTTCGAAAATTGCGAGCAAATTGTGTGCGTGTGACATTTCCAAAGCGACGGATTTTTTTTTTAAATAATCACATTTTTACGGCAACACTTTTGGAACAGTATTTTTCACTGTATTCGCGGGTGTGCATTACTGCATTTTGTGTATTCGCGTTCCACAAGTTAAATGGCGAGTGTAAATGGTGCTGCAAATGCAATCAAACAACACCCATGGAATGATTACTATTTTCAATGCATTTTTACGGTTCAAATCGATTCTCGTGAATGCGAATAAACACGACTGTTGCCAATCGCCTGATTTTTTTTTTGCTCGCACTCGCAGGATGTGAAACGCATAAGAAGAAAATGAATTTTCCTCTTATGAAAGCACTTGGATCGGTGTTGGATTCGGTTCTTTTTTCTCGCGCTTTTTTTTTTCAAAGAGCCAAATCCTCAGTAGAAATCCGAATTTTCGAACCCTAACAACAATGGAACATTTACTTGTCGACTGTTATTCCTTTTTTCTTCTTTTTTCTTCTTCTTCTTCTCACAAACAATGACTGAGTGCTGTCGAATGTCGAACATTATATATATCATTCGAATGCATTACCATCGAACGTAAAACAATTCGACTTCGTTCATTTTCTTTTCCATTTTTCCTTTTACTGCAAAGAATGGTTCTTATTGCGTTTTCAGCTTCAACTGAAATCTCAAAATTGCACTTTGGATGGTATTGCTTTCCACTCGAATGTCATGAGTGTTATGTGCAATGTGAAACAAACAAATGTATGTGTGTCTGTGTGTTTGAAAAGAGAAGTTTGTAATAACAGCAGCAACAAAAACTGAAGAAAAAAAAACTAATTGCAACAACAATACCGTAACGTAACATGGGAAAGGACAGAGAGAGAAAAAAAGGTGAAAGGCATAAAGCAGCTTACGTTATGTTCCGATCAAAATCGTTTGCATGCCGAAAATAATGGGTTTTAGCAATAAAAATGGAAATTTTATGTTAAATGCAAAATTCATCGAATTCGCTTCAAACGGAATATCGATACAATTCGGCACATTCGCCTGTTCACACGAAACCGAAACCGAGACCGAACGGAAGGGAAGCAGAGAAAGGGAAGCAGAGAAAGAGAGATAGACAGTAGTAGAAGCATTACGACCAGGAGCAAAGCAACGATGTAATCAATCGAGTATTTATCATAGACTGGAAAGCATTAAATGGCACGAAAAATGGGGTGAAGTACACAATTTCTGGTGTGTTTTTTTTTTCATTCGTAATCGGTAAAATATATCCGAAGAACGCATTGCCGATTTTGAGGTAAAACATTTTCTGTTGTGCAAATTTGGCATGTACATCATGTTGTGAACGCAACAGAGAAACGTTCGATGTGCTTTTGATATGTGTTTTTGTGGGTGCGTATATTGGCACATAAGTGACCAAAGTTACGAACAAGGAAGTAAATGAATAATTTACTAAAAGGGAAGGAACAAATCCAGAACAAAAATATGGGCCAAATTTCATTCGGTTTCTCTCAGCCGAATTGAATGTTATGGCACACTGAACGAAAATCAAATACAAACAAACACTGACTGAACCGCACGCACACACTCTATGTATAGCGTTCATTCATTCGTTCCAAGCTTTTCGTTCGGTTGATGGTTACCAACTCTTTCCAGGTGCATCCGAAAACTTGAGTATGACGCGCCATCCGAACATTGCTTTTTAACTTTAAGTAACATTTGCTACGCAAACCGATTGCATGCACCTTGTTACACTGTTTCATATTCATTTATTCATTTGTGTTTATGTTTTTTTGTTATTTCTTCTGGTTTTTTTTTGAACTCGTTCTCTTCGTCATTGTTTTCCACCGTTTTCTTTCTTTTTCACCGTTCACGTTACCGTCGCAGTCATTCTGATCATAAGCTACGAAAATGTATACATGCATACACATTTTTCCCGCTTCGTTTTTATAATCAACGATATAGATATTTGTGCTGTATCTCATTGCTTAATGACTTCAACTTGAAGACGTTTTGAATAGGTGCTGACTTATGTGGAAAATGACTTAGCACGTGCTTTCTCACTATTTCTCTCTTTCGCATTGGAATTGTAAAAACATTACACACCGATTTCTCTTCGTACTTCGGTATTGTGTTTATCTATTTTATCCTCTCTCTCACACACAAACACAGTCTCTCTCTCTCTCTCTCTCTCTCTCTCTTTCTCTTTATCTATCTCAAGAGATTGACTCTTTCTCTCATTTCCTTTAGTTGGTTGGGCCGCGTGCGATGTGTACAAGTGATTTAAAAATTAATTTGATTTGTTTATGGAGGGAAATGATGGTTGTGGAGGCTGAAGTGGTGTATTCTGAAACTAAGCTCGTCTCTTCACATTGTTACCATTCTCCTGGCAATATTAACGACTTATATAAACAAAAGTTGTGTGCACAAGTTTTGTATGAGTAATACACATTGTGTATGTGTCTGAATGATTTTTCCCATTGATTTTCACACTTCATTTGATTCGATTCATTGTGGTTGAGGCGCGCGAAAGCGAACACAACGGTGCAAGAGTGATAGAGAACGAAATTAGCTCAATCTGTGTCCCAAATTGGTTTTTGAAAATATTTCGAGTGAAAAGCCAAAATCTCAATTCACTACTTGCTTATGAATATTTGTGGTAGAGAATGTTTTGTTCGTTGTTGCATAGTTTAAGGCATTTTCTCTTGTAAACTTTTTGGATTGCACGGAAGACATTTCTTCTTTACATTTTAGTTTAAAAAAAAGTTTATTTTCGAATCGTATTTACTTTTGTGCAAAATGTTAAAATCGGATTATGTAGCACAGAAATACATACATAGAGTGGTCGGACCTAAGAATGGCGCTGGGGAATTTTTGCCATGAATTTATATTCTATGCAATTGTGGCATGTGCTGCTTTCCAAGCACACACTAACTATCCCCTTACATTGCTCAAGGCTTTTTAATTGTTTTTTTTTTTCTACGCCCAAAACCCCAAATGATGACTCCGTCCGTGAGCTTAAATTGTTCGGCCACAAAGAGAGAGAGAGAGAGAGTGGTAAAGCTCAATATATTCAATCACATGTATACAATAGTTATTGAAGCAAATGAAAGAAACGTATAAATGCATTTTAAGAAAATCAAAGCTGAATTACATCAAAAGTTACATTGACCATTTCGGACCGAAAAACTGGCAAAAGGTTACACGCTCCAATCCGGTCGATCGACCACATACAAACACACACGCATTACATTTACGATAATTTGGCTCGTTCTAATATAGGCGAATAAGAAATGCAAAAAGAATTTTGTTCGCGCCGATATAACTTATGTGTGAACGAGGATCCTATGTTGCAAGTCACACAACAACAAAACGAAAAGAAAAAAAATCCAAATTCGAACAGCAACAACTGCATCAATTATAAATTGTAATGAGCACGCACATACAAAATCACGTATATATTTATAAATTTTCATTCATGTATGTAGAAAATTGAAACATGCCGAAGACGTGCCAGAGAACGAATAAAAAGAAGAAGAAGAATACGTAATTTTTTTTTTATTTATAATCAAATTTATGATCGAACAATATATATATATATATATTTTGTTTTCTTTCTTTCTCTATTCTCATTCCGATATTGTAAACTCAACTACTAATGACAAAATACACAGTGTCTCTGTGTAGTAATGGCAATTATCATCGCGGAGACACAATTGTAAAAACAAATAAAAATGCACTATGAATATTTCTCTTCTCACATACACAGGCCAATTCTCGGTGAAAATCCAAATCGGAAATTTTGTTACTTTCATTCGTGACATCGTCAACGGCTTTTTTTACGGTTTATTTAAATGGTTTACCCGTATTTTAGTTTATTTAATTATTTATCCGAAACATACAAACACTAGATATTCACTCTAAATAATTTTTTCGATGAACAACAAAATAAAAAACACAACACACAACATCGACAAACTATACACAATTTGTAGTTTTAGTTAAAATAAACAAAAATCAATGAATGGGTCACTTGTGCTCTCAGTGTACGTATATAAGATCGTGTATATTTTGTGTTGTATTGTGCATTGGGTACATCGTGTCGACGACAACGACAACGATGAGCGCGGAAAATTGAGAGATACAGCCACAATTGAATATGAAGAGAGAAAGAGAGATAGAGAGAAAACAAGGAAGTGTGGCGAACAAATTGATGGGCGAAAAAGAGACGGCACAACCGAGAAAAGCACCGATGGAAAAATCGAGAGAGCCAAAAGCATTCAACTACAAGGAACCAATACAAATGCGCATCGAATACAATACACTTACACGTAACCAGCATAGAACGTTGTGCAAAGAGCGAGCGAGCGAGCGAGAGAGAGCTAGTTTTATCCAAATGGAGAATATCGGGAAAATACATGTGCTTGTAGAAAGCACGACACACATGCCACACACATATTTACAGAAACATTGCCTCTAGCATATACACAATGCATACACATAAAAATTCGCATGTGTGTATCTTGCCATGACAGTAGCAGGCAGTAGAAAGAAAATTCGCTCGAATCGAATAGTTGAAAACACTTTATCATGACTTAATATTTTTCGGGTAATTATCGAATTAAAGCGCAAATATGTTATCATTTAAATGAAATTATCATTAAATTATGATAAATCAAAATCAATGTTCACGTTCTCAAAAATACCTGTACTGTGTTAAGTTCAATTCATTTCGGTCGTTCGGATATAAGACCATCGGCATTTCTCTTCAACACAATCACACTTTCAATACATTCACATAAAAACGATGTCATACACAAAATCCGTTGCTACAACACGACCATAAATGACATCCACACACAACGACACAATCAGTCCATGTGAAATATGTGAGAAACAAGTGGAAAATACACTGACTCTTTCGGTCTCTGTGCTTTGCAATAAAGAGGCGCAACAACGGATCATCATCGTTGTTGTTCCCATATATGCTATTACACACAATGCAATAGTTTATTATAATTTTTCTTTTTCGTATTCACCTTTTTCGTTGTCGTTCCACCAAAACGGCTCTTTACTTAACACTCATCCACTATTTCTTTCTCTCTCTGTTTACAAATGTTTATTTTATATTCCTATTTGCCTCCTCTATATATGTAGAGAGATATGCTCAAAAGAGCGCGCTTCGATGTGAATGGCTTTGTTATTGTTATTGTTGTTGTTTTTGCAATTGTTGTTATTGTACACACTCAAAAACTATCTGTGCTATACGGATTTTCCACTTTTATTCCGTTGCTTCTGTTGCTCTCGTAATCGTCGTCGTTGTCGTTTGACCGACTGATTTTCTCTGTTTGTTGTTGTGTGTTGCTTCACTGAAACTTTTCAACTGCCACAACGAGAGAATGTGTGCCGAAGTTTGAACCGCGCGCGAGAGAGAAATGTTATCCGTCAAAAGCACACAAGCATCTCTCAACAATTGTATATACACATATACAACGTAATGTCAAGGAAAGTGATAGAGACAGAAAGAGAGAATGGTGGATATCGGTGGATATTTTCCTCTACAAACAAGCTGCCAGCTGTCTCGTTCGTTTTCTACCGCGGTCTTTCAATGTTTATCATCAACCGATTTAATTCAACGCTTTTAAACGCTGCACTCTACCCATCGTACGCACAATCACCGTTGCTTTTGTTTTTGATTTGAATTTCACCTTTTTTTTAAATTATTTTTGCTGTCAAAAATTTATAGACGGATTTTTTCCTCTTCTGTCTGATTTGGTGTTTAATTGCAATTTTTTCATAAATTTTACCTTGATTGAATTCACCATACAAATGATGCACAAATGTGTAAAAAAAAAACAATCGTTGTCTGAATGCGATTGAACGTGTTTTCGTAGCCGCCTGACCTGAACAAACTGTCACACGTCAATTGTTTTATGTTCGCTCGATTAATGTGAGAAAAAAAACGGCTTCATTCCATTTCGAATGGTTTTCCGTTTGCTATAGAATGCACGTGTGTATTCGTTTCGTTCACAATATTCAATATGTATTTTTATCTGTTCTTCTCAGTCTATTCGGCATGCAATGCATCCGAATGAGAGAGAGATATACGAAATATACACACAACCACTGTGCAATCGTATGTGTAAGTGTTCGAATGACTGGTTGACAAGCGCTCTCTTTCTCACTCGACATGGAAAAAGACAACACAATAACCATGGAATGAAAGCGCCAGATTCAACAAGAGCTGTTGCTGATTGCATGTGTAAGTGTGCGTGTGCATAAGCATGGAAACAGATTTTCCACATTTTCATGCATATAATACAAGCCATGCTGCTGTTGTCGATTGGCGGCTCTCTTTCACTCTTCCGACTGTATTTGTGGCACCAAAGGAAGATGACAGTTGATGCCATCATACGACATATATATGTATGCCTATCCAGGAGCCAGCTGGCGCAAAAGAGCAAGTTGATAATATATTGGCCAATGCAATACATTTATATTCGCCAATGAAATTTTACAAATAGAGCAGATAGAACGGTTTTTGAGGATGATAATCGAACAACGTTTTTGGCCGAAGTACACGTGCTGTATCGAATTCATTTCTCCCATTTCGCTGAATGTCAAGCACCATTGGCAAACAAATTGCTTCAAACACACAACAATGTTCCATTTCTCTCTCTCTCTCCCCCTCTCCATCCAAAGCTCTCTATGTACATCTTTATCGAAAGCTTCATATTTCTTCATTGTATTTTTGAATATCGTTGTTCGGGAACAAAGGAAAAATGCATATGAATATAAAATTCAATCTCGTTCATATACTTACACTAACCAATCATGAATTTGATTTCAATATTTCTTGTTGTTATTTTTTTCCTCTCTCTTCCAAGCTGCATTTTGACGTGGAATTTACTTATTTATTCTTTTTCTCTCTCATTTCAAAAGAATGCTCAGCTGAATGCACGCGTGCATATGGAATTTACCTTGGCCTCTATATCCATTCATATAACAATGGGAAAAAACTTCGATAACGCTATAAATATATTGCAATGAGTTGTCGACGTTCGTTCAGTTATTGAATCTTTCGTAATTTGTTTCACCAAACATAGGTGATGACGGGGTTCCTAGGGTTCAGATTACCCCCCTCTAAAATATTTTTAGGAACCCTCACCCTTTTTTGGCCGAGAAATTTTTTTCGATTTGCTAGGGGTTTTCGCCAAAAAAGTGAAGAGCAAAAAACGATTTTATCCTCATTATCTACAATTTGTTGACAGCGTCAGGGACCCCCATGGATTTTTCCAGGGAACCCCTACGGAATTTTGCCATCACTTCCCCTAAAAAAAATTCCTTCATCATCTATGTTTACCAAAAAAAAAATCGGGTTTTCGCGTTTTGAACACAAACAAAAAATGTCAATCAATACCAAACATTTCATTCGTTAAAAATGACCACCTAAAATTCACACCTAAAAATTTCGTTAATTTTTCGGCATGTGTTAGTTTTTTGTAATTTGTTCAAATCGAATCAACACTGCATTACAATGACGTAAATTCACGGTCTTGATTTAGCAGTTGCGTATAGATTTGGAGCAACGTACATGTGTTACACGTCAAAAAACAAATTAAAACAACAACATAAAATGCATTTCATAAATTCTCTTAATAACAACAGTTGTACAGCTTTTGTTTTTCGTTCATATTTTCTTTTTTTTTTTCACTTGAAATTTCTTTATTTGAACTAAAAATCAACACATTTCCAATGTTTCGATACAATATATAATTAATACATATTCAATATGACATGAGAATCTTGTCTCTCATGATCATTAGATAGATATTTTTTTCTTGTTTTGATACAATTATGGATAATTTAATTATAGAGGTTTTTTCTCCTTTAAAATGTATGGGTTTATTTCTCAGTTGGTTTGACCGTTTCTCTCAAAATCTGTAAGGTGTTACTTGTTTTTTATCTAGTTTTTTTTACAATCGTACAATGGACTCTGAATAAATCATGACTCTTGATTTTTATCTCTTTATTTTTTAATTTCAGATCCATACCTCGAAAATTTGAATTTTAAAATGAATTTAGTTTTTTTAGCATTTGAATCAAATTGAAATTGAACAAAAAAAAAATTCTTGATATTGCATTAATAACTTGTGTAGCTTTGAACATTTGATAATTTTTTTTCTTTAAATTAACGCAGAAATCATTCATTTACTTTTAATTTTATTACTTAAAATGAAGAGATTCTACGAATTGCCTCGAACTCAAAAATATAATGGATTCAAACAACTACAACAATTCGCATTGAGTCAATGTTGTTGTTGTTATTGTTGGTTGCATTTGAGTGGCCGTACATTGTTCTAATATCATAAGCAATCTTAACTTGAGTTTTTTATATATATATATATATGCATATATGTAACAAATTATTGTTTTATAATTTTTGTTTCTCATTCGAGCCATTTTACATTTGATTGGAACAAATTTTTATTGTTGTTTTTGTGGCGAAAAGAAATAAAATATAAAAAACGGGAGGAATAAAATAACATTTTCTCTCTTTCTCTCTGTGTTTCTCAAAAAACTGTTTGTTTTTTTTTTTTTATCGATTATTTGTTTCAGGAGCTGAAACAATTGGTATGTTTTTGTTTCTAATGGTGTGTAATATATTTGCAGAGATGACGGTAGATCATGTTGTGCTCCTTAATCGAATTATCATCGTTTTCACTATATTTTTTCTTCTGTTCTGCGTTTCGTTGAAACGGCACTCTAACATCTTGTCTCGTACAAACCGCTGCGACCAATATAACGCACCCACTTGATAACATCATGATCCGAATAGTTGATTTTTGGCTCGAACACTTTCAAATAACGAACCTATTTTAATGAAAAAATGGACACATTCTTAGAAACAAACCCAAACCGTGTGGAGAAAATGATGTTTTCGATGTTCATTGAATTTAAAATACCTTGAAACCGGATGGAGCAAACGGTACTTCGAAGTTCATGGAAATTGGAGGTCGTGTCCATTTCTTTTTCGTATCCGTTTCCAACAATTCAATTTCGGCCGATAATTGCGTATCTTTCATACCAGCCAAACGCCTGATTCTATAAAAAGAAAAACATAAATTTTTGAATAAAAAAAAAAATTTCCATGCAAAAGAAAATACTCACTTCCACACGATGGCATTATCAGACGCCTTGTATTTTGCTTTGCCTTTCAGACAAATCAATTGCACACCAGATGTATTTAGAGGCGTTGGAATTTTTACCTCAATTTTTTGGCCCAACAAGGATGGCTTGAAATTCGATTTGAGCACCACCTGGAAATTAAATTTAGATTTAGAAATATATTTTTTTTAACTTAACACTTTGGAATATACAAATCGAAAGATCGAAAGGCGTCCCAAGTCACGGTTTTATTTAAAATTGTAGAAAAAAAAATCCGCGCACAAAATATATTTTGTGAAAATTGTCGAACACTCTTTTCAATTTACCTTGACTTCCATTTTTGTTCGTCCAACCTCTCGCACCAATGGTATTACACGGAATGGCAACGATATATCTTTTGTGGTGCGATATCGCATCAATTCAAATTCACCATCTGGTGGTATGAAGCTGATGGAATGTTCCGTTTCAAATTTGCTCAATTTCACACATTGATGAAATTGACAATCATCAATCACAACAACTGGTTTGCCCGAACGTGATGTTTCTGCTTCTGCATTGCCCGATATAACACCACGGCCTTTAGCTTCCATCACAAGTTTATCGTTGATGCCAAACTTACACTCAGGCATACCTTGAAGCGAATATTTGTTCGATTGGTTTTATGCACAGGCAAATTGGTTTCGTCGATTCGGAAGAAGGGATAAATGTGTTTGTTTGTTTTTTATTTGGTCGCATTTGATTGGTCGCGTTGCACGTAAATTGTCAATCGAAAAACAAAAAGTAATTGTGTAATGAAATGAAATGAAATGAAATGAAATGAAATGGGAGGGAAAAAAGAGCACACATACAATCAAAATAAATTGAGTTTAAATGAAATAAAGCAGAAATTATCATAAAAATGAATTATTCAATGTGTTTGATGAAAGTTTAATTGAAATGAAAGAAACTCAAATTGAAAACAAAAAAAAAAATCAAAACTAAATTATAAAATGGAATGGAGACCAAAGATGCGACTTAATTGATTATAATATTTCATTTTTATATATTAAAAATAGAAAAGAGCCCATTTTGTACGCATTTATTTGTTCAATCGAAGATTCGAAGCGTAAAAGAACAACCAAAGTGAGCATATATTTGATTGTTCTTTGTACCAGAGCGGCACCGGAGAAGTGCGGGAGCTAGTAGCTACCTTCACTTATTCCACATTGTAATTATTTCAATGAAAGTGCTCGCACCTTCGCGGTACCTATAACAGTTATGAATAATACGCTCAACTTATTGCCGAGAAATCTAAACATTGAACAAATACAATTGAACGCCATAATTTGCACACGAAAATCATGCCACTGTTCAGACAGTTATGCAAGCGGTCATGCTGACAATGGAACCGATTTCGAGAGTTTTACCGATAAAAGCGTTACGAAGCCAAATCATCTTCGGTGGTTTTGTTGTTTTTAATGTTTGTTCTTGTTGTTTCAATTAAAACATTAAACATATGATGACAAAAATCCACAACACAGAAATAGCATGAAGAAGAAGCACAGATTCGTTTGACATGTTAAAACACAAATAATGTGTAAGTGAAAATGGACACAAATGACCATGCTACTTTTTTTTATTTATTTTAAATTATATGGTAACACGTTTTGAGTTGAGATGATGCATAATTCGAATGAAGATAGAACATTTTAGTATAGTCAATTTGATTAGTATACGATTTTATAAACAAATGAATTAGTTTGATGTGATCTCCACGTTCACATAGTAGATTTTGTTTGGAAATTGTTTAATTGTTTGCAAATGCATGCGAACATGTCTGTGTTTGAGATCAGAAGAAGAATCAATAATGAGAGAGAGAGAGAGAGAGAGAGTTCAAGAGTGAGAGAGAGAAAAAAGAAGGAGGAGACTGATGATGGCTAGTACATTTTGGTTTGTGTTTGTGTATTTGTGTGCATTGCAAATGGTTTGCTTGCAAAGAAACCATCTTACCTGATAAATAAGACTTCATAACAACTTTTCCAGCAACGTGAGCCGACAATACTTGACCTTGTGGGCTCATCAAAAGATTGACGTATTCGAGTACGTCCAAAAATAATTCATTTCGACGGTATTTGATACCTTCGCGACGCCAACCAATTTGCCCTGTTACCTAAATTATGTACAAATCGATTTGATTGATTTCTTGTTTTTTTTTTTTTTTTTTTTTTTCTCATGCGCGACAAGTTTGACACGGAAAAACAAAGTTGCTTTTCAAAATTAACGAGAGAATGGTTTGTGATATTATGTGAATCGTCAAAATTGTTAAAGAAAAATGGTAAAAAATGTGAAAATACTTGAGATGTGATTTGGGCTTGTTCTTCCTTCGTTGCCGATTTAATGCCTTGCTGAGTGATGAATGTTTTCAGTACGCCTGTATCCGTATTTTGTGGGTAGCCAAAGTCCAAAATTTCTATTGACGCACACATCAAACAAACAAAAAATCATGTTATTCGAATTCAAATTCGACATGATCGACGGGTCTTACCATCCAACAATTCATAGATAAGCACAAAATTATTTTTGATATTCTCCTCGGATATTTTACCAAAATATGAATGCATCACATCGATAATCTTGAGCAGAAACTCAAATACCATAGCTGCATTGACATTTTGCTTGGTGACGGCTGCTAACCAAATATTAGCTCGCTATATGTAATAGAAAAACACCGGATATTTCAATTACATTCAAATGACTCTAAATTCGAAAGAATAAGATACGTACTTTGATATGAAAGAAACTTGTGCGTGCAATGTTGGTAACGGGTGATCTCACTTGTTGCCGAGCATGAATGACATTAACACGGAACGCATCAACTGCATTACGGCCAATGTCATCTCGATAAACTCGTGAAATCAACACTTCACCTTTGTGATTATACACAAATAGACCGCCAATCATGTTTTGCCAATTGATTTTATTCCCACAACAGCCAGCCGATGAGAGGAATAAAATGCACTAACTCTTTGCTCCCTCTCCAGTGACCGTTCTTATTTTTTCACGTTCTCGCTTGATACACACACACAAACACCACGTACAATTTTTGTAGACAACAAAAGTTACTGTTCAGATTCTTATTGTTCTTATCCACTTATTTGTCCATCCATTGGGAATGGCCGAACTGAAACGAAAATGAACAAAAATTTGCGTTACTCTTTCTAAATTCATTGGAAAGAAGATAAATAACTACAAAACAGGATGCTATTATCTGCGAAAAAAACCACCCACTTGCTAAGCATAACTATATGTGTGTGTATTTGTATTTTGATAAACTAAAATTTCATTGAAATCTTCCCAATGGGCAATTTAAAAATTCTGAAAAAATATGTTTTTGATATTTTTTTCAGATCTCTGATCCCGTTGAAACATCAACAATTCAACGAAATTTATTCTATTTTCTTCAATACTCTAGAGTTACTCACACACTAAGTAAAAACGTAATTTCTCTGCGCAAATATCGGAATTATCCAAATGAAAATGTTCAAACAAATTAAAAGAAAAAAGTCAGTATTCTTCTTGTGCCTTTCGTTTATTTGATGACGATGACTGTCAAACGAATCGGCAACCTAATCAATTAACTGTGGTAAGAAGAAAAAAATGTCTTCTCACTTTGCGTTTATTTGACGGACACCGAAATTACAATGCTGTGTGTATTGATTTCTCAACACACATTGCATTAAAAACACACACTCGAAATAAAATTTATTCAATTTTAGATACATACCATGCAAATGATATACGGGTTATGTTATCTAAACAATTTAAATCCGAAAGGTGGCAGCGTATCGCGTATTTTTTTTTGTTACTCTCGTTTAATTCTATTTTTCGTTTTCTTTTCACAGAAAAATTATATAGAGAAATTGTTTGTTGTGCACCGTTCCTATATGCATACACACGCAAACAAACAATACACACAACGACAAATGGTCCGAAATCAATTCTCCGAAACAATATCAAACGTAATGCAGAAACGTCGATGATATATATACTGTATACCTGCGGACAACTTCACACGATACTTTAATCGCGCGCATCCCTATCGGTAAAATACTTTGCATTGGGCGTTTCAATATCAAATGATAAATTTCATTATTTTTCAGTTGCCAGAAAAAATAAATTTATTTATTTTATTTTATTATCGTTTTTATTTTACTATTTTCTTCATTAAAAATACATACAATTTTCAAGTTTTGTTTTTTTTCTCATAATTTTCAAGTTTCGGATTTTTTTTATTCGGAAATTTGTTTTTGTTGACCAATAATAATTATTGATGATTTTACAATAAAGCACGTATGCATTTTGCAATTTAAAAAATATGCCCAAATATTTCCATGTTTACCAAACGTATTTTTGTAATACGATTGAATGTGGGCCGTAAACAAGTCATGATTGGTTTAAGATTTTTTTACAAATTTCGGCCGTAGTTTTTTAATGTAAAATAGTTTCGAGTAACCAAACATCTCTATATCTACAAATGAATTAAAGTTGATGCAAATACAATATTCTGCAGAAAAAAGCTAACAAGATGATATAACATCTTTGAAAAGCAAATAATATGCAAACTTTAATTGCAGTTTATTAAAATGTGAGTTTTATTCGAGTTGGTTGTAAACATTTTGAATCGGCGGTCGATCTTTTGGATAGAAGAGAGATCGAGAAAGAGGGGGTGAAAGAGAAGGGGAGAATAAAACCCATATGATGCAGATGCAATTTTGATTTAAAATTGCGATTCGCTATCATGTTCCAATGTAGCATATGAAAAATGTTATGTAAACTCAGTGTTTTTGTTGTTGTTGTTGTCTCGCAATGAGTACGCTGCGTGAGTGCCTTAATACAGAATCTCCGACGTTGGTCTGAAAATAATTTAGAGAGATAAAAGGAAATGAAGAAACCAGGGGAAAAAAGTGAATATAAAAAAAAATGTTGGCTCAGTCGTGCAATATGTGCATGAACATTGAACGTCGACCTCGTTGAATGTCAAAGTGCAGCTAGTACAATATCGTCTATTTTAATGTGTTTCGTTGCCATTGAACGATTCGTAACATCTGCAATTCAGATGTACACACTATTTTTATAGACATGTTACATCTTTGCTTGATTATTTTTTCCTTTGCTCGTTTGTTCATCAACATTATGTATAAAGGTATCTTCCAAAATATATTTATTTGCTAAAAAGACCCACTTAATGTTATTCAACCCACTTAATGTTATTTATCCATCTCTCCCGCTCTCTATTTCTCTTTCTCGCGCTTTCTTTGTTTATAAATCAACAAGTTGAAGATTATATTCTCATTTCAAAATGCACCTCCAAGTAATACACCCAAGACGTATTATGGTACTTATCGTCGCCGATAATTCTACCTGCACACTGTTGCATTTGCCAATTAATCGAAGACGGATAGAACAACAACAACACTATCTGAGCTGAGCAATTCTGCATATACATTGAATTTCAAGGACTTACCATACCATAACTAATGCTCGCAGATGGATATCTTCATTTTGGTGCGCAGCAGAGAATCATTGAAAACAAATTCATCTGTGCTACCAATAGTAGAGGGCAGCGAGCGTCGAAATTATTTTCATTTTTTTTTTTGTTGACATTCCAAACACGAGCAACAATTCTCAAAATATACTGCTTGTTTGCAAAATATTTATGAAAAGTTATAGTTTATCACAGGTTTTAATGAACCAAAACCATTTTCAAAAATAAATCATAAAAACTTTTTCTTCATATAAATATCTCCAGTTTCAGTTAATTTGCACATGATGAACTTAACAGTTTGGAAATAGCATTTAATTATTCTTATGTTGAAAAAGTCGTTCACATTTTCCATAAAAAGCAAATTAATCAAAGCGACAACGATTTTGTTATTAAAGTTGCATACTTTTTGATATTTTTTATACGATTTTTTTCGATTTTCTAGGGTTTTTTGACAAAAAATCTTTCTCCGGAGAGGCCTCCATAAACATTTTTGTTCCGAGTGAGCAGCAGAATCAAAACTACCAAGAAGCATCGTTCTCATCGAAGTAAGAAATTTTCTATATTGTAATTTGAAATGTTATAAATAACACGTTGGAGGTACGAATAACGTGAAATTATTAATTCACTCAATTGTTGTCTTAGTAATTCATCTTTCAAGCTTTTTTTTATGACAAAATTTCAACGGGTGGAACGGTGCACATTTTGGTGATGGACTATCACTGATTTGATTTTAAAGAAATATGACCAGTGACCACAGCAAATATAAAAAATGGGAAAATACAAATCTATCTTTATGGCTCTTTTTATTAGAAAAAACTTTTGATTGCTGTAAACATCAAATCCTCTTGAGAATCATAAATGTTGACTGTAAAAAGCTCATTTGTACAGTATTGAAAAAACCTGACGCTATTCGTTATTGTGTGGCAGTCAGTTGAAATTTATTCAATGTATTTAAATGAAAAAAAAGTTAAATCGTTTAATATGTTATTAACATGAAGTGATTCGTAAGCGGATAAGAAATATAAATATTACGGAATGAGCTTTACTTGAGACACGTACAAAAATCCATTTCGCATCGTTGAATCTCATAGAAATTGTGGCGAATGTCTATAATTTAAAAGCAAATATTTACACAAACGAACAGCTTGCGACATGGAAACGTACATGATACAATGGTGGTGTTTCCTTTGTGTATCATTACCACGATGATGCTGACCGACTGAGCAGTGATTGTATCGATAAAGCTGAACGAGATGCGTTTGCGAAAAAGTATATTTGTGTTATATAGAATGTAACAAGCAAACGATGCGTAACTTGGAAAAATCGAATTTACACACAAGAACTGATTCGCTCACCTGCCGAGTTGTGTCGAACAAGTTTGAATGGTCCGCTATTTCTTCCCGCTAAGAATCAATAAATAAATGGCAAATACTACTAAGCTTTCTAAAGAAAGCCACAAAAACTAATTTCAATATAGAAATAGTTGATATTTAATATCATATGGTTCCATGCACAAATTTTCCAAGAAAACAAAAACGATATATAATCAAAGAAAAACGTTTCATTTTTTCTGAAATTTCCTCGAATAACATTTGTCGTCGAAAATGTCGTTCGTTTAACGCTGAAAATTAGTTTTGACGGAAAATGAAAAGCTTTGTTGATGCGTGTAGCGGACGGTTGTCGCTTCTGTAAAATGCAATATGAAGCGAAAAAAGCTCAAGTGATGAAAATTATAGACGGTGGTAAAATATAGCCTTGTGTTAATTTTCCATCCATATCGTCAGTGCAGTGAGTCTGCAGCTATTGAGGTGTTATGTACTCATTGCCTGCTACTGCTACTACAGCTCCTCGTACAATATAACGGATTCACTCGATTTTTCGCATGGTAAGCAGTTTTTCCAAGTTCGTATCGTTCTTGCTCCATACTGTGTCGCGGCCCCCCCCCCCCCCCGTTCTCGTGGCATTCGATTTTTTTCTCTTCTTCTTTTGCCTGCTTAAGTATGTGCGCTTGACATGGATGCTATGTGCTGCTATCCGTACGAACTCACACATATAAATGTGCGCAACATATACACAGTATCCGTGTGGCTCAACACACAAAACGTAGAGTAGACGGTGTATGTATCACGGTCCTAGGATGAACGACGAAAATTTGTGCTAGCGTTTGTAGTAAAAACGAGTAAAATCATTAGGCTCAGTTGCAGTGCGTAGGCGGTTCTCGTAGACGTGCCACCACGTGCTATGTTGTTCCGTAAATTCAAATCTATTTTTTTACATCATTTCAATCAAATTTGAATACAAAATCAAGATCAAAATCAAAACAACAACTACCAAACTTTAATTTATTTTTTCAAAAATAAAATCACAACTTCTTAAATTTGGACACACTCGACAATATATATTGTATTGAAAACAAATAATAAAAAAAAGAATCTATATTTTTCTACTATTTGAAAAGAGACACATATATTAAGAGAGATTCTCATTGAGAGATTGTAAAAACAGTTATAAGCTGCGACGATTGACAATTGAAATCGCATGTTTGCGATAAGCTTTTGTTTTGTTTGTGGTGCATTTGAAATTTGTCATCGGTGTGGAATGCCAATTGATTATCAACCGATTTTCAATCTGTGACCATTCAGTTGAAATCAAAACAGAGAGAAGAAAAAAAGAAGAACAAAGAGCCCATTCTTTGATTGAGAAAATTAAATATCCAGTCGTGGTAGCGTTGAAAATAACCGATTCATTGGTATTTTGTGCATAATTGAAAATTGTGAAGGTGTATTGAATTTTATTAAGTTTGTGGGTGTCATCGTAACCAACATAAAAAATAACTTGAGACAAGAGTATCGCCATTGATCATCATTTGGCATACGATTGGTGCGGCAATTTAAATAATAATAATTGACTTTGGAGGCGAATGAACAGAAAAAAAGCCAAACATTCAGAGCAAAATATAAACGAATTTTAATTGGGAAGCGACCAACGACGAGGCTTTTACTTCATATTAGCCGTAAAAAGACACTTGTTTTTGTTTTATTCAGACAAACACACATTCATACCAGTTACCATAGTGAAAACAAACTGATAAACAGTAGAATATACAGAATTCTTATTTGTTTTTTTCTTTTTCTTTTTTGTTTCTCTTATTTTTTTGCTACCAGAGTGTTTATTATTTGCAGAGCCATCGTTATTTTGCATGCACAAAAACATTTTTATGGACACGCCGTAAAGCTGATGCTAATAAGCGCCGCGTAGCCGTTGTACAACCCTCTCAAATAACAGTCCCATTTGGAGTTTTGAATATTTTTTGTGTGTTTATATCTATATAAAAAAAATGGGTGTAATGCTTTGGGAAAAATGCGTCCGATGGTGTTGGTGATTTTGCAGTTTTGGATGCTATTCAACGGCAACATTTATATTCATCAAGCAACGCAGAATTTATTACAATCGTAATTGAATCTTCGCGAGATCGAGAAGTAAGTGTAAAGAGAAAAAATAAAAATCAGTAATACTGCGCACGGTCCAGTTTCGATTCATGAAAGTCAAATACAAATCATGCCATCGATTGTGGTATTTATTGTTATTTTTTTCTCTCTCTTACCACCAATTTCTTACATTCGACAACGACAATGGATGTCAATTATGTTTGAGCAAAACGTAACAAATTTTTGATGCGAAAATCACGTGCCATAAACTTTATCAAACAAAAATACAAACCGATTTTTTTGCGAATTTTCAACACAAACGAATTTAATGTGCAAATATTTCTGCTACAAATTAACAAAACGTAAAACAAACAAAATAAACGAAAAAGGAGTCAAATATAAAACACAGAGTGAGAGTTAAAATACAAAGAAAAACGGAACATTTTTACACAAACACAATCATTTCAAAAGACGGAAAAGTTTTTTCTATTCTTCTTTTTCTTTGTTCCTGACCTGTCAAACGTCGAAGTGGCATTTGGTGACGATCGTTCAACTTAATTCGTTCAAAGTGAATTTCGTGCTCTTTTTTCGTCTTCAGTCAATCGGATGAAAGCACTCAAAAGCCAAAATACAAGGATACAATCACAAGAAGCTGAAAAACAAGCTGACACAAGCACACACTTTGGCAAGCGCACAGACAAAAAAGAGAAATAATAATACAACAAATCAAAGGGTTCAGAAACATTGACATTTCCGTTTCAAATTGTAGCCCATTTGTTCATTTGTTGTTGTTTTGCTGGATTAATTGGCTTGAAAAAATAGATTCCACGAACGACCCCGGAACTTTTGTTTACTGTGAATAAAAAGAAAAGACGAATCAAACCAAATAGATGTAAGTATCTGAAAATCACATCAATCTTGCCAACAACAGATTTACTCCAACTTAGAGAGAGAGAAAAAAAAGACGGGGAGCATAATTTTTTTCGGTTGCGCCTTCAGTCTTTGCTTGCAAATAGGAAATATTCGGAAACGTAAAGTATAAACGGTACGACAACTAAGAATGTTTCCAAATAACTCAAAAATTAAAAAAAGAAATATATTTTTTTGTCACTGAAAATTCGTGAGAATTGAAGAAATGTACATTTATCGTTTCTATTTTAGGAGATTCTTCTGCAGTGTCCGTGTGTAACAGGAAGACGGTACTCTTGGATCTGAATCATTGTTAAAAAAATACGCACATATTTAGTACGGTGTCTTTTTGATTTTGGCTTCAATCAAAATTACGCTCTACACTTTTTGCAGGTAAGTTATTTTTTCTCCTTTTTTCGCCATTTCTTTTCGTGTTGGGGCATTCTTTCAATCCAACAAATCTAATTATCGGTTTGTATTTGCCGGACAGTGCATTGCATCACAAAACAAAATTTGGACCACAGCTGTTGCTCAATTGCGTGTGCGTGTGTATATTTAAAATTCATTACATGTTTAAATCCATTAATATGTAACCAAATGAGATTTGAACATTGTCAAAATATAGTTTGAAAACATAGTGCGTGTGGGTATGATGGGGATGGCAGATATAGTGAAAGATCGTGAAAGAAGCATCATAGTTTCCCAAATCAAACGCAATTTATATGTGAACGTGACTATTTAAATGATCTTTTCTTTCACCATTATTCATATACAATGCACCGCTAATTCATCGCCGTGCATACAAAGTGCATACAAATCGGATTGCTGAATATCAATAAATACTTTTTTTGAGAGGCAGAAGAGTGGATTTTGCTAATTTACTCATTTCATACCACGAGTAAAATTTATCGCCACCAGATTTCTTTTCCTCTTTCGCCCCCCCTCGCTCTATTGCTTGACAACACTAGCGTTATAGCTTTTATTGCGTTGTCCATTAAAATATGGCAGCGTATAGAGTTTGTGTTGTGATTGTTTTGCTTCATCGACCATGGATGTAGTTTGCAATTAATGAATTTACTTCATTACCTTCACTTTGCCATATATTAAACGGATTAACAACATTGTGTGCATTGTTGTGTACATTTTTTATTTGAACAAAAAACGAAAATGTTCAAGTGATGCGAGGTAAGTTTTTTTGTATGTCACTTTACAATATTTTGATTGTGTGTGTGTGTTAAATGAATTAATGAAAAAGGAAATGAGAGTGGGAAAGTGATTAAAGTACGGACTTTTTTCGCTTGTTGCAATTAATGTTCGGGTTAAGGAAATTATTCCAGTTTTTCTGGTTTTAATATTGTTATTTGTTCGCTCTATCTCTCTCTCTCTCTCTCTCTCTCCATCTCTCCATCTCTTTTGGTCGAGAGTTCTACATTAACTGACTAAGTATGGGAGAAGAGGAAATGAAGCGTAGGCAAATGCGTAACGATCCGATAGCATATGTATGAGTGCATGTAGTACTGAACCGGCTACACGATGGTTCTAATGCAATTCGTATAATAAGCATAAATCATTTAAATGCATCTGCATTTTCATTATATTAATTCCAAATGCAATGTGGATTAAATAATAATGCCGCAGTTGGCATCGTTCACCACCGCATGAATATTTGATAATAATTTGAAATAAATACCTTTTTTCATTTTTATAATAAGCCAGTTTGAAGAGAGATTTCATTTTTAGCTGTTTGAATATTGAACTTAATTTTCGTTAACAATTCGAAAATATACAATGAAATGATGGACAAAGACAAAATCATTTCGAGACAAATTAAAGCAATTTAACATTTCAATCAGCAAAATCATAAGCTTCTGGGTTTGAGGGTTCAAAAAAGTGAGGACCTTTCATTTAGCTCGTCATTTTTTTTTTTGATAAACCAAATTATTCCTTTGCATTTTTTGAAAATTTTGGAATCGACTCCTTCCTATGGATCAGAACTATCACAATCTATGGGCAAAATGTTCTGCGCGTAATAAATTTTTCGCGAATATGGATGTGAAAGATATTCGTCGAACTAAAAAGAGGATGTGAGATAGAAAGAGATGGTATGAGAGTGTGAGAGAGAATATATAAATGAGATATTTTCCATCGTTTGGTCAACTTTGACCATTTGGATTGCACTCTTCAACGATTTTTTTCAATTATGCACTCAAATACACACACTCTCTCCCTTTAACAGCTTCGTCGAACATTTTATTTTCAATAATGGTCATTTAATCTATTAAGGTATGCCGTGAAATAAATGCCCAGTTTATGTGCATGAAAATACTGGCTCCCATAATAATGTCTCTATTCAATTTCATGATGGTGGCAATCACATTGGCTACATTGCCATTGCCAGTGAGTTCGTCGGCTGCGTTTTTATTATCATAATCATCATCATCGTTGTCATTGTTGTTAATGTCGTTATTTGTTTCACAGTTTGGATTTTGCTTGATATTTTTATAATCGGAATGCGTGTGTTTAAAATCGTTTGGATAATTTTCCATAATAACACATTAGTAAAGCAAGAGATAGCAGCATCAACGACATCAGGTGTTGGTTTTCTTCGCTCTCTATAAAAATTCATATTGCAAATGAGCTGAATTTTCAACTCGTTCGGTTCTCGTGCTTAGTGACGAGCAAAAGAAAGCACTGGGAGAATAAACTTTTCGAACAAATACTCTTCGCTATTATGCATGTGGCTGTTATAAAATGGTTCTCGTTGTAATCGTCTCACTCCCTTTTTCCCACTCTTTTTCCTCCGTTTTTTCGGTTTTTTTAAACTCCACCTCGTACGTTGTCTATTTTGTATTGATGTCTATTTAATCTGCTGAGCTTAATGATTATTTATTTAACGTTTTCCATGTTACACTGATTACATCGCATATCGTGCATACTACATCGACCGTATGTGAAAGATTCATAGTCAGTTATATTATAAATTATAGCTTGCGAGGTTTAATACACACCCATACAAACATGCGTCTCGTATATATCATCTTTATTTGCTCGCGAATTGATAATTTCATTAAAATAGAGCGCAATGAACATTAGAAATACGCAATAGATACGATGTACAATGATATCTGATCTTGATTTGAAACTCGTCTCTGGTTTACATTCCTATCACTGTGTCTTGCTTACAATTTTTTTTTGTTATTTCATCCCCACATTCATTTTCATGACGATTCATTGAAACGCGAAAATTTTCACATCCAAATGCCTTGTTCATTATTCAAAATAACTAATGTTTGCTAATTGATTTTCGATTTTCATTCGCGTATCATTTAAACTAATTTTCAGTGGGACACAAAGATTATTTATTGATGCACATACGTCACCCCAACCAGTCAGCTCTTTATTAGATTTTTCAATTAGTTCTATTGAATAGTTTTTTTTTGGACAAAGTTTTAAATTCGAAAGCATTGACAATCTTGATTAATTACTTAATGATTATTAAAAAGATGAAGGGAACGGTGTAAACCGAAAACTTCTACGAAATATTAATAGTATTAATACATTATAAATAGAATGACAGCGCCATATAGTGGTAGTCGATTAAAAAATATCGTACATTTTTGTGGCAATATCATTCGAAAGTAAAATGCCAAGTTTTAAATCTATAGGAACATCATCCGATTACTGTGCAATACACTCATTCGTAAAATTCACAGTAACGGTATGTAATATAGTATAATGTTTCACAAAGATGTTTATGTGACGAATTAAATATGTCATTTATTGGAATATTTGTGATTTTTTCCATATTTATTCTGTAACCAATTTCATCTATTAAGAGTTGGTATGCGATGGAAAGTATAATTTGTTATAAAATATTTACTTTTAATTCCACTACGAAACCAAATATTACAACTTATCACTCAAAATTTAGTATGATTGGTTGTTCAATTGCAAGAAATGAAAATGTCGGTTTTACCCAAAATTCCATTGGGCTATAAAACATTTTGAAATCAGATGGAATGGTTAAAGAATTTTCATAACATTTAGTTGAATAGGAAACAAATTGAAATAAACGGACCCAAAGGTCAAAACAAGATTCACTAAAACGGGTGGCATTGAATGAAATGGACACCGTACAAAAAAAATTGTAAGCCAATTGATGGGGTGTATGCGATACTTTTTTTTTCATCTTCCCCTTCTTCTTCCACACAAACTATTTCCATTAATCATGTATAATGGTTTCCATATTTGTTTTCCGGTTTTACTTCCTCATTTTACTCTCTCTTCCTTACTGTTTATAATCTTTAATCTGTTGTATGTGCGTTCATGTATTCCGATCCATACATATATATGTATATCCGATGTGTTTGCGCATATAAAAGCGATTTTTCGACAAGTTCTACCATAACATATTTATCAGTTTGAAGTGGCAGATTTTTTGAATTAATGTTCAACAACGGTGGCGACGGCAGCATTCGAAATACAAGATGTATGTTCATATTCGCAATTCACAATGCTGTGTTCAATCTTGTATATTTGGCAAACATCGTTTTACTTTTCCGCACACACCTAGTGTGAAATAGAAAGTATTGCAATAGGTCAAAATTTACTAAACCTCAAAAACATGTTTTCTGGGCGTTTCTGAGGTCAGAGAACCCGAATCAGGCCGTTTTGAGCATGGTTGTTGTGGGTCTGTTCTACGTCGTACGTCGTACGCAAAATTTGTCCATCGATTATCTCACCCCCCAGAAAAGTTATTTAAAATCTTCACGGGATGATTGGGGGTCCCGAGGAATAGAAATCATTAGATTTTGAGCGACTTTGGTTGATGGAAAAAAATGTCATGCCTGGAGTGATATCTATGAAAAAGAGTCCAATTTTCGTCCAAAAGTCATACTTAATGTAGACTTAAACACTCAAAAATATGTATTGGGGGTTTTTTTGGCACTAGAAAACCGAATCCGAGGTTAGTTTTGAGATACAATCAATTTTTGATACAGTTTCCATGAAAAAATCACAAAAAAATTGCATTTTTGTATGGGAGCCATGCCTGTATGCTACCTTAATGACGTGAAACTTTGCTCAGTCTATTTTTTACACAAAAAAATAACATTCTGAAAGTTTGAAGAGATTTCAATTAAAATTAGGGGTAGCTCCCATACAAAATTTTCATATTTTGTATGGGAGGTACTCTTAATTTTGGTTGAAATTTCTTCAAACCCTCCGAATGTTATTTTTTTGTGAAAAAAATAACCTGTACAAAGTTTCATGCCATTAAGGTAGCATACAGACATGGCTCCCATACAAAAATTCAAATTTTTTGTGACTTTAGTTATGAAAAGTGTTTCAAAAATAATTTCTATGGCAAAATTAACGTCAAACATATTTTTTAT